CAAACGATTCAGGATAACTCAAAACGTCGAGAGAAAGTGCAATTAATACATTGGATGTTCTGGTGTAAACAACACATTACACTTTATACTGAAATTAATTTTTAGACTAAAATATTGAATTATTGTCAAAATATTTGAGATTTTATAAAAAGAGTATATGAAATCAAATAATACACAAAACATAACGAAATTTGTATGCTGTTAGAGATATTACTGAAGCAACTGTAAAACTATTACACTTTTCCCATTATTACAAATCACAATTATTCTTATGTTATGAAATATTGTCATATTTTATATAATTTCCTCTTTTTCACAATATTATCCACCAAAAATTCACCAATTTCTATTTTTCTTAAATATATTGTTTCTTTAAATCTAATCAAGATCATGTTTCTTGACAGATGTTCTGAAGATGGAATGGAAAAAAATTGTTCTAAAAATCCTTTGGATGCTTTGTATGGAGCTCTACAAAATATTTATAAATCCAAGACTCTACCTTCTGATATATATATTATATATATATATATAATATACAGGGGTTTACAACACAAAACAAATAAGATAAATGATGCTTGCACTAAAATCCTGACAAGTGTCACAACTTCTACAATATATTTATACACTTCCCCACATGTATATATATATATATATATATATATATATATATAATATTTGTATGATGTATGGTAGATGGATGATATATACATATGTACCAATTTTACTCTCAGTTACCCTTTCAAGCAACCATAGAATCCCCAAAATGCCCCCTTCAGGGCGCCCCAGACAAGTGCATATGAATTTAGATAGAAACGAATGCGGATATATGTGGACACATACACACACACACATATATATATATATATATATATATATATATTAAATGTTAATTATAAACAATACAACACTCAGATTTTTAACACACACTTTATTTGGTAATTACAGACGTTTCGAGACCATGGTATGCCTCATCTTCAGTGTAATTTCAAAAACAGTTACTTATATATTAAACATTATTTAATATTTTATTTAATTTATAATTAATTTCTGATAATACAAAAAACACCAACTATCACTTGCAAAGCTTGACACAATACTAAAACATGTGAAGCATACAGAAATATTTTAAACAAATCCCAAGTATCGAGATATTGATGAAATGTTAAGTATGATTCCACAAGCGTACTTTTAAATTTTTTATTATCTATTTTTTCGCATTTTAATCCATGCTGCCTGAGTCTTTTATCTAAGTTCTGACAAGTCTGCCCAATATAAGAACAATTACAATTTAAACAAAACACTAAAGACGAATCTCCTTTAAGAAAAAAAAGATATAGCTTATAAAGTAAATTGTTTCGATTGTAATTGTTCTTATATTGGCCAGACATATGATATATTTTACAGTCATATCACAAAATTCTATATACATATATATATATATATATATATATATATCATTTTATAAAACAAGGGCTTCTGTGTTTGTTTTTATTTAGCTTGTCAAAATGGAGAAAGATGTTACATTTTTAACTCAAACTTGCAGTCTTAAAATATTTGTTTTTTTCTTAACCGCCATAGAGGAGTTATACAATTTTTATGTTTTTTATATTGACGAGTATACAAGTCATTTCTATAAAAAATTGACCATTGGCTATTTAAATTTTCTCAAATTTCAAGAGACTTAGAATATTTAGTGACTATTCTGTAATAATGTAAAAGTTGTAAGTGGTATTTTTCTTTAACAACATTTTATCTCATAATCTTTCACAAAACTGCTTGCTCAGTTCAATGAGAGCACCATAGTTAACTGGTTAAATTAATGCAAAACAAATACTATATTACAAAAATGTGTTCAAAGATCTGTCCATAGAACTGTCTATTATTCTTCATGGGGTAGTTTTTGACGGATTTATGGAATTTTTTTCTTTGTATATGTATATATATATACATGTATATGTATGTATGTATGCATGTATATATGTATGTATATATGTGTGTGACTGTTGGATATAGCCATATGTAATGTGGGCTGCTTTTGGTGGCGTGTTGACTATTTACCATGTTGTGACTTGTTATCAATTCCTGCTTCGTGACGTCACGCGATCTGATAACGAACCCGATATGTTGCTACCATTGCAAACACCACACTACAATATATATATATATATATATATATATATATATATATATATATATATATATATTAACATGGTCTGATAATCGGGCGTACACAACATCAACAATATGTACGTACTTCTATGTGTATAATTTGATAATTGTTTATAATTATAAATGTCAGTCGTTTTACATTTCAATTTTTCTTTATGCTCAGATTTCTATATCGCTCGTTTATTGTCTCTAAAATAATATGTATGTGTGAGTAGATTAAATATTGTGTGAAACAGATATATAGTGTCATATAGAGATGAATATTGTAAAGAGTGTATCTTTACAATATTCATCTCTATATGACACTATATATCTGTTTCACACAATATTTAATCTACTCACACATACATATTATTTTATTCTTTTGTTATTCTATCAATATGTCATGCTATTTACGTGAACAATTGTGTATCATTCTCCATTCATCATTTCTCCACATTGTTATACTTTATTTAAAATTATAGTATTTTTGCTCAAATTATCACACTTTAACCATCATTGTCATACTTTTATTAGCATAGCCATACTTTCTGCAAAATTGTCGTACTTATTCAAACACCTAACATTTTTCACCTTTTCTCTAACATTTTTAGCTAGCATACTTTTATAATCTTTCGCACAATTTTTGCAACATTTTCATATTTTCTTAATTTTCTCTTGCATTTTTCAACATACCATTTTTTCTAATTTTTCAATCTTTCTAACATCTTAATACTTTCTCTATCATATTTTTCTGAACTTCTAGATACCTTTCTCACCAACATTTTCATACTTCAATTAATTTTCTCATACTCAGTAATATCTCCATACTTATAATGTTTTCATACTTCTGTAACATACTTTTCGCGATATTTTCATACTATTCAGCAGTACATTTTCATATACTTCTCGTAACGTTTATTTATTTATTCATAAGCAAGCTGTAATCAATAATAATTGATATTATTTTAGGCTCTTATCAAGCTTATTCTTAATTAATATTAAAATGATAGTAATTTTATAATAATCATAGTAGCTGCACGAATTTGGGTTCTGAAAAAAGAGCTGAAAAAAAGCATTCGAACATTAAAAACAATGTTCATATATAAAAAGTTGTTCATATATATAAAGTCTATTTGACTACCAGTCAAGCTCAAAATTCTTGCACAAGGTTGAAAGTTATACTCATTTAAAACCGTAAAAAATTTTAATTAATAAAATAGCAATAAAAGACATGGTTGTACAGGCAATCAAATAAATGGTCAGACTACATAGATAAAGGATAAGAATTATGCAAGAAAATAGTTATCATACACCTTCTATTTTTCTATACTTTGTGTAATATATTCATACCTTTTGTAATATTGTCATACTTTTCGTAATACTTTCATACTTAATCAAACTCATACGTTTCTTAACCTTTTTATACTTCATTTATTAATCTCATACTTCTGAACACAAGTACATACTTCCATAAACTTACGTTAAGTTTGTGAAACTTAAACTACTTCCGTATTTAACTTTCACAAACGTATTTAACTTTCATAATACGTAATTTTTTATTTCTATTAATGAGTAGACTTACGTCTACATCCATATTTACACCTTTTGTATAAATTTAGTTTTTTTTTATATAAATGTTTGTTTTTCTTATACTTTACATTACTTTATGGTATAATTTATATTACATTTAGACTTAATTTTCATACTTTGTGATATAAATTCTTATGCATGTTTTTTGTAATAATAATTGTAAAAATAATAATAACTAGTGGTGTATGGCATCGGTGAACTTCTTGTACCGTCATGAAATATTCGAGAAATTTTAAACGTATTCAAATATATTGTATTATTACAAATACTGTAATTGTTTCATTATTTTTGCATTATCTTGTTATAACGGTACAAATCAAATGTAAATCATAAATCAATTTATCTCCAGAACATTAACAATCGTCGTTTCATTTCGAATTCAATTGAAAAAAATAGTTGCCTAATTTTCACAAAATTGCTCCCGAAAAAGTGCTCCCGTATAGTCACAGTCTAAACGCATTTGCAAATAATTCTGTGCGACATTTTCACTTATACTGTGCTTAGCTTGGTGGCATTTTCACATTTTTCATTAGTTTTCACAAAATTGAAAATGTGCTCCAACATAAACAGTCTAAACGCATTTGGGCAAACATTTGTACCAGAGTGGTGCTTAGACTGTGCTTAGCCTGGGCAATTTTTTGAATTTTCAATCCAAAATTACAAAAATAGTTATTGAAAAAAAAATTAGAAACAAATTTTTTTTTCCAAAAGCAATTATTTTGTTGAAACAAGCAGAAAGTTCTTTGAATCATTTAAATCTGACGCTTAGTTCTTTTAAAAACTGCCATTTTTTGACATTTAGCTCTATATCTTCAAAACGGCTGGGCCTACCTTTGTCAAAAACTAATCACCCCTTCTCCCTATCATTACAAATTGAATGTTTTTTGGATCATACAAATCGGATGATCCGTTCTCTCAAAAACTTGATTTGTATTTTCTGCACTCTTTGCTTCGTATCTCGGTAGCGGCTGGACCTGCCTTTGCCAAAAACTAATCAGCACATCTCCCCATCAATAGGGATCGAATGTTTTTAAACTATTCAAATCGGTTGATCCGAAAGCACACACACACATCCAATTTTTCTGAGGTATGCCCTTTGAAACTGTTCAGAAACGTTCAAAACATTGAGAAATGCAAAAATTTTCATTTTCGATTTTTTTGCGATTACTATAACTTACCCTACGGGAAGTTAATTAATGAAATAATAAAATAATTTCTTCAATAAAAAACAATTTTAAATTTAGAAAAAAAAAGTTTATTCAGAGATTCATATATCAGTCTAAAAAGAAAACGTATAAAACAAAAATAAAAACGACCAGTCTTGCATCAAATTAATCACCAATCCCTTGAATCAGGCTCTCGTATCTCTGACGATGTCTTCGATCATTTCAACATAAACTCTCTTCAGACGATGGAGACGTGTCTGGTGTCCCTGTAGCAGTTGTAGATGTTGAAGGCCCTTTCGCAGGCGTTGTCACCACTGACGACCTTGCACTTTTCGACGGCGGCGGTCACCTTCTTCGACATTTTCACCACCGAGGCTCAACTTTTGGACGGCGACTTCGGTCTGGAACTCGTCGGCGTCGTTGAAGAAACCTGGGAGAAAATGATCGATAGTAGTAAAAGACTCTGGTGGAAGATATTGGTGGGAATCGAAAGAACTCTACTGACGAGCAAATAGAAGGAACGTGAAGAACTCAAGAAGTTCAAAGTTGAGAAATTCACCGAAAATGAAAGCATTAAATATTAAACTAGTTGGGCGCATGGCATTGTGCCTTAAGGTAAATTGCTGGAACTTCCCGTATCAAAAATTATTATTTTTTTAAAAACGATTAACATTTTTGAAAAAAATTTACTTCGAAAAAATAAGATTTTTGAGAAACTATAAATTGCATAAAAATAACTTCTCTTTTTTTTGAAAAAATGTTATCTTTATTTTGACATATTTTGGAAGATCTGAACTTTTCAAAGCAATCCTACTGCTTTAACTGCATAGAGACAAAATATAAAGCGCATGAGCGCCGCGTCGCTGTCTAACGGATAAACATTGGTACGGAACCCATAGGAATGTAAACAGAATTTATACTTATTGTTAAAATCTCTATAAAATATCTAATAATTTCATGTGCATATGTCTAATGATCGTTTTTTACCGCTAAATGGCATCTTTTTTTACTGTTTTCGTTAGATCTCCGAAACCGCTAGACCTGTCTTCATGAAAATTTGATCAGTTCTTCATCATGTTAATACAAGTAAAATTTTTTTTGAATTATTAAAATCGGACACTCCGTTCTCTTATAGACTGAGTTACCGTTTTTGGCACTTTTTGCCCCATATCATTGGAACGACTAGACCTGCCTTTGCCAAAAACTAACAAGCACGTCTTCTTATCAACAGCAATCGAATGTTCTTTGAATAATTGAAATCGGTTGATCGGTGTTCCCGAAATCGTCCACGAAAATTTGTATCCGCACACATCCATACACATACATACATTCATTTTTTCTAAGGTATGCCAAAATGTTCAGAAACCTCTGAAACGTAAAGATATATAAAAAAAATTTATTTTCGATTTGTTTGCGATAACAAGATCAATAATGATGACACATATGTCAAAACGTATGGAAAAAAGCACATTTCAAAAAATTCTAAAAAACTAAGAAATTAAATATGAATATTAAAGTACATGAAAAACAATAAGACAGAATTATGCATAAAAAAGTAGAGAAAAGTGAAATCATCGGTAAGCAAAAAGTATAAATATTATTGAGGTATACAAATGTACTAAAAAAAAATGATTTTGCATAAAGTATGAAAACTTATATGAAAGTGAGAAAAAAATTACAATATAATCAAAAAAACAAAAATTTTATAAAGTAAATAGAAAAGCATAAAAAAGTATGAAAAAATACTATAAAGTTTACTAAGAGAAAATGAGTATGAGTATGGGAGAAGCGTGAAAAAGTACATGAAAGTAAAAGAAAATAAAAATATATACAATTGTTAAAAGATGATATTTACAAAATATTGAAAAATATATAGAAACCTATGAAAAATACAAGTAGCATATAATATTCATAAAAAAGTATATAAATATATAATATATATATATAAAGTATAAAAGCATGAAAAAGTATGTGAAAGTAAAGGAAAATTAAAAGACTTTACCGATTCTGCCGCATAACAGACCAATGTTATGGCAAGGCCATGTTGCGGTCCAACTTGCATACAATATGCTACTGAATCATACTGAAAACAGTAAAAATGTTATGTATTTGCTGTGCATTCAGGCATTTTACACATAAACTGTAAGGTCACTCGTGTGTTATGGAGCTGAGTCAGAAAGACCCTGTTATCTAAGATCTTTTTTTTTCGACATTGGTGTGGTTTCTAGGTTGGGTTTTCTATCTGACAACCTGAGAAAAATGTCTGACTGCACAGCAACCACATGGCTTTTGTCTAAATTTAGTATGGAAAGTTCTTCATAACATGGCCTTGCCATAACATTTGTCTGTTATGCGACAGAATTGGTTCTTCAATTTTATATTAATATTGATGGATTTGGATAATGAGACCCTACTGATGAGTAGAACTAAAGAAATGTGATTCAAGTTGAGGGGGAAAGGTTTCATGGATTTACCAAAGGGACTCTACTGACGAGCAAACTGAAGTTTATATTAATAGTATACAAAAGAACTCTACTGGCGAGCAAACTCAATCTCACATTAATATTTATAAATTTAAAAAATGAGACACCCTACTGGTGAATAGAACTGAAGAAATGTGATTCAAGTTAAAGAGGAAAAGGTTTGATGGATTTAGTAAAGGGACTCTACTGATCTGCAAGCTCAATGTCATAAAATGAGTTAATTTTTTAATTTAGAAAGGTTCGATGTATTTTCTAACTCTACTGACAAGCAATTCTGAAAACATATGGTTCAACTGCAACATTCTTTTGCTATTTCATCTAGAATTTCTGATGGATTTGAAAAAATGACATCCTACTGAGATCTTTGCAGAGAAAAAAACTCAAAAAATTGTGTAATGCTAATTTAGAATTTATAATTTAGAGCCCTAACTTATTCCTATTCATGCCATTTTTTTTTGCAAAATTGGTCGTTTTAAATTGTACTATTGAGTTGATTGAATCTCGATTTAATAAGAAGATATATTAGTGAACAGAATTGTTAGAAAGTCAATATACTCATTTTCTAGACTATTGGTCTATTTTTTATAATTACCTGATTGGCGGAAGAAGCACTTCATGAAGCATTTGACATTTTCGCTAACCTGAAACGAAAATAAAAGAAATTAATTAAAATTGTAAATAAAGTGATAAATATTACTTTGTTTATACTTTTATAGTTTATATCTCTCTACACTCTTTATAATTTCACACTTAAATTTTTATAACGTTTTTACATTTTTGTCAGTTTATATTTTATACTTTCAATTACTTTTTTACATTTGCCATAGTCTATTACTTTATACTTTTACGTTTTCCTTTACTTTCATATATTCCCTAATACCAATTTTTGTTAAATTTATTTACTTCCTATACTTCTTATATTTTTTATATTTATTATATTTTTCTTTACTTTAATTACTTTTTTCATTGCAAGCTTTCCACTCCCTTTGTTTTTTTACTTAGATATTTTTTATTAATTTTATAAACTGCTTATACTTTTTATATTCTTATGGTTTTCTTTTTTTTTTAACTTTTATATTATATTTCTGATACTAAGCCTAAGCCAACTTCTCTTGAATGTTATATTTATGTATTTTTTATTAAATTCATTTGCTTCTCAATAATTTTTTAAACTTTTCTTTACTTTCATATACTTTCATATACTTTTTTCATTCTCTGTAGAGAATATCATTTTTTTCATAAATTTATTTCAATTTAATTATACTTTTTATATTTTTCTTTCTAATATAATATATCAAGCCCATTAACTCTAAGTATTTTATATTTGTATAATTTTTATCAATCTTTTTCAATTTTTTATGGTTTTTTCTACTTTTTATGAGTTTCTATACATTTTTCTAAAATTTGTAAATATTTTTACTTTTATATAATTTTTGAGTTTTTTTGCATGCTCACTTCCCATAATTTTTTATATTTTTTATTTTATTTACTTGATGATTTCCTCTACTTTTTATGGTTTATTAAACTTTTTTAAACTTAAATTTTAAATTAAATTTAATTAAATTTTATAAACGTAAATTTTTATGCTTTACCAGGCCCATACACTTTTAGTTTTGTATATTTATGTACTTTATAATATTTTTTAATATTTTTTTATTATTCTCTGATTATTTTTCAATTTTGTACATCTTTCCTTAGCATCACATAAGTTTTTATACCTCATCCAAATTGTTTTTTTTAGTACATTTGTATGCTAAAAAATTTTATACTAATATTTATACTCATCGCTTTCTTTTAATTTTATCTACTTTTTCCGACTTTTTTGTACATAGTTTTCTCTTATAATATTTTTCATGTATTTTAATCTTCATATTTAGTTTTTTAGTTCTTTTTAGAATTGCTCAAAGTATGCTTTATAATTAGGCAATATATCCATACGTTTCGAGATATGATCTGTGCCATCATTATTGATTTTGTAAAAATACTTTTATAATATCATCAATATAGATTTATCATTAATACTCATAAATAGTAGTATAAATTAATATTGATTACTTACATTTTCGGTGGATTCTCCAACCTTGAACTTCTTGAGTTCTTCAGGAGTTGCTCCAGATTCTTGGAGGCAGGTTTGGGTGTGTTGTCTAACACGTTCCTTTTGTTCGTCAGTCACAGCCTAATAATAAAAATAATTATATTAATGAAATTAATTATTAGGTGTAAGTGGCATTTCGCCTTCGGGCAAGTGATCGTAATCCATGCGACTTTCAATTGATATCTTTTGAACAAAGGTAGAGCAAAAACGATGTATGCAAATTGATATTATTCTAAACATTGACATTTCGTAAGACTGTAATGTTTAACGAAATTTCTTTGAACTAAAAAATTATTATTAATATATTCTATACACTTAGTTTTATTATTTACGAAAACGGCTGTATGTTTGATATTTCAAAATCGGTTCAGGATTATTTTTAACTAAATAAACAAAACGCAAGGACTTGATTATTGGTTAAATAAAAATATATGGTTAAATAAATCAATTGCTAAATTGCTTAAAATTTGAAAAAAATAAGAATTTTTAATATATTGTTAAGAAATATTTTTAAATACATAATAAAAATGTTTTTCATAAAAAATGGTTATATTGTAAATATTTAAATTTTTAACTTCCCGTAGGGTAAGTTATTGTAATGGGGCCGAAATCGGAATTGAAATTTTACATTTCTTGACGTTTTGAAGGTTTCTGAACATTTTGGCATACTTCAGAAAAAAATGGATGTGTGTGTGTGTGTGTGTATGAGGTATGGATACAAATTTTCGCCCACGTTTTAGGGCGCACGGATCAACCGATTTGAATGGTTCAAACAAACATTGCATTCCTATTGATAGGGAGAAGAGCTGATTAGTTTTTGGCAAAGGCAGGTCCAGCAGTTACGGAGATAAGGAGCAAAGAGTGCAGAAAATGAAAATCGAGTTTTTGAGAGAACGGAGCATCCGATTTGAATATCTAAAAAACATTCAATTAGTAATAATGGGAGAAGGGGTTATAAGTTTTTCGCAAAGGTAGGCCCAGCCATTTCGGGGATACAGAGCTAAATGTACAAAAATTGGCAGTTTTTGAGAGAACTAAGCGTCCGATTCAATTGATTCAAAGAACTTTCTGCTTGTCTTAACAAAATAATTAATTTTGGAAAAAAAAATTTGTTCCATTTTTTTTTTTTTTTTTTAATTTTTTGTATATCGAAAATAATTCAGATTTTATTTTTAATTCTGACTATAGTTCTAATATACTTTAAACAAACAATTTCAACTCTGCAATTCAGTCATATAATTCTTATAAATATTAGACAATGTTACAATATTTATAATAATCTATTTGAAAACATTCAATATTCCTCGAACATTCGTTACGGTACGGGAAGTTCAAGCAATTTGCCTTAAAGGCACGATGCCACCCACCCCACTAGTTGAAATTTATTTAATTATGTTCATCAAAATAAAATACAGATAAATATTTATAAAATAATCTACTTACAGGACTGCAACGAACAAAAGCCAAAGCGACAACTAAGAATTTCATTTTGTTGATTCTTTTTAAAAAATTAAATTTCCAAAAACTCGAAAAGAAAGTTCACTTGTCGAAATGCAAAGCACAACTGTCGAAACATTAATCGAAAACGCCGCAATTTATATCTCTTGAAAATGATAAGAGAGTGTAAGATTACACTAAAATATTTGTATGAGATTGTGTGTGCGCCTGTGTATGTTCGTCTTCTTATATGTAGTGTTCTTGTGTGTGGCTATGTGTGTTTATGTGTGTATGTTTTTGTCATTGTGTGTGTTTGTGTATGGGTGTGGATTTGTGTGTCTGTGTATGATATGACATAATGGTAAATTTTCAATATAGTGTTATCTTTAAATTCGATACCTTCGAATTATTATTTCGACTTAGTCAAAACAACTTGCATTGTATCTTTATTATTTGACACCACAAAAGTTTCCACTGCTTTGTTTTTCTTCCTTTATGCGATTTTGTTGCAACAATTTATGGAATTTTATATTCTGTATTATTTGTCGTGTTAAAAGTCTCGAATGTCAATAAATTTCCATGTAGGAAATTAAAGCATATGAAATACTATTGGGGCTGAAAATATTAACTGGAGCCTGATGATGTGAAAAAATTAAGTAGAGTCTAAAAATACTAATTGGAGTCTGAAAATACTAAATGGAGTCTGAAAATACTAAATGGAGTCTGAAAACACTAATTGGAGCCTAAAAATACTAATTAAAGCTTGAAAATATTAACTAGAGCCTAAAAATACTAATCAGAGCTTGAAAATATTAATTGAAGTCTGAAAATACTAATTGTAGCTTGAAAATATATTATATTATGTTGCGTTTTTTTCATATAAAATTATCAAAATTTTGAAATCTAAGTTCTCGCATGAGTTATCATGGCACATCACAATTCTTTTTTTTTGTTGATAATTTTCAATATAAAAACTCGTAATTTTGAAATGTCAAATAACGAAAATCAACAAATCATTTTGGTTAAAATATTAAAGTGTTACACATTTTATTCCTAATAATTTTATATTTATTGATTCATTATTGATTATTCATTAATACTTGCCAATAGGCAAAATGTCGTTGACACCGAATTAAAAAATGACCCCATGCACTTGGCAGATAATTAGCAGTGAACCCATTAACCCTGATAATAATTATCAAAACATT